AAAACTGTAAAATATTGTTCGTTTGGTTAAAATCTCAATGAATATGTTTGTGTTGTACATTGTACTTTGTTGAGAAATAAAAATGTGAAATGCATGCTGAAAAATTTGGTGATCATTTGTATCTAAAGCTGTTTGGTGATCAAAAGTACATTTACTCAATGAGGACTCTGTCATTTTCATAGGATATGGTTTCGTTCTTTACTAGCTTTTTTTTGATTTTGGCCATCTAGTTAGCAGGTACATCTCTGAAAATGGGAGAAAGTAGGGAGGACAATTGTTTTGATTCGGTAGCTAAATGTCGACAATGACCCTAGGCTAATAGTTATTTTTGCTCTTTTCAGATACTCTCAATTTGATGTTAAAATTGAAGTTATCTCAATATTGCGACGATCTAATCATTGTTAGTCTTCATTTTCTGCGCTGTTTGTGTGGCTCGTACTTTGCCGAGGTTTCAGCGCACTCCTGAAGGGTCGAGGTTAACAAGGAATTAATGCTTTTTTGAGAAAGTCATCTACAGAAGACCGACAGTAGTAGAGACCTGCCGGATGGACTTTAGAGATTAATGCCAAAATCGAGGCTGAGACCAGTTTTACGGAATTTTTGTAGAATCAAAACCAGGCAATCCTGGTCCCCAGGCTTCGTAGGGAGACTCCTAGAGATATGCACAAGATATTTCAGTTCCTGTCCCGATGGATCGAGATCAAAACGAAGAAGCTCTTGTTGCGCACATCTGTGGAGCACACTAGAAAAATTTCCAATGCTCACTAGAGAAGAACAAAAACTTTCCAGGTTCGGGGTGAATACCTCTGGTCAGGCCACCCTATTCTATCTTCATACCAAAAACGATTGACGAGATTTGCACTATCTTTACCAATTTCTTATGTACCGAAGTTTCGAGAAAGAGGCTCTCCAATGACAGAAAAGTTGATTTTACCTATGCAGAGTTCAACCTAGTTTCAGTCATTTCGGAGGACGAAGACGGAGATGATAACTTCTTTTTTGTTCTGTGACCAGTGTAAAATGTCAAGGTTTGTAATTTGATTTCAATTTTGCGAAATAATTAATATTTATTTTACGGACAGAGACAACTGATCATTTTCATACGACTACAATTGTCCTCTCATTTTTGTCCCACACATTTCTAGCTGTATTTTAGTACTAAGAGTACAAAAACTTTTATCCTTCGGGCTTCATATCGTTTGCAATGATGTACGAGTCAAAATACAAAGTTCACTAGAATCGACTAGTGATAATGGTCCCACAGATTTATCCAGTCTTTTTTCCCTAGGGTTGCAAACACTGGATTTGGATGAAGTGCATGGCAATACACGAGGGCCAAACTTGTAAGTGTGTGTGTGTGTTTTTCAATTGCCTACTCGTTCACTCCGCATGTAGGTGTCGAATATCAAGATGCCAAATTACGAGAGACAAATGAAGATACTGCCCGCAAGGACGTCGAACATTTGAAGGTAATGAAAAACCTATTCATTCGCAAATCCAAGTCGAATTCAGTTACATTCATTTGCTTTTTAAAAGGAAATGATCAAGAACAAAGAAGCTATGTATTGGTATGAACGCGTACATCGAATCGATGATTTATTTTCTCTAGCGATTGTTTATTTTTTTTTTGAAATCAGCCCAGGTTGTCGCGTCATAATTCAAAAGGCTTCTGGCTGTGACTGGATTCAGTGTAGTCAATGCAAAATTGAAATTTGTGTCAGTATCACAACTATTATCGTAGATATAAACTTTCTTGCTCTTCTTCTTTCGTTTAGTGGCCGACGCAAGGTCCTCGTTGGGGATCGGCAGGACGTGGTGACACGTCCGGAGGCTGTAGATGCCGCATGGACAATGGCAAACTTTGCGTGCCAGATTGTAAAAACTGTCACTGATCAAGTGCTTTCGTATGATGACTCACTTTCTTATTGTCTTTACGCAAATACACAAATAAACTTTTTCCTACAAGAAAGTTTCGAAATAACATCCAGGATGAAAATCAGTGGAAAAATTGACTGCTAAAATTGCCACCAGCGGTGGTGGCAATAGACCTGCCCATATTTTAGTTTTTGACGTGGTTGAAAAATATAAAAAGTCCAATCAGTGGTCTGAACAATTAGGCCATGAAACTTGATGTCTATGTTATGGTCATTAAGCATCGATCAGGAACGATCAACTCTAATACTGACACTTTGTCACGGTATCCTCTCAAATCTGAGATAATAGGTGCCCTACAGAGTTATGGTGTTATGACAGGGCCCTTTAGAAGAAAATTGGGAGGCTGCAATTAATCTTTGGGATAGCTGCAATATTTTAGATGGCATGAACTGAGGCAACGACGAGACAATGACCTTGGTCTACTTATTTTTTTAGTCCTCTGATGTTGGAAATATCGCTCAGCTATTACGTGACGAAGTCATTTGCCGTCATGCGTTCCAGTTATACTGTTTCCGGTAACGGTGCATAATTAGTCGCCGACGTTTTTCGGGAGACTCCAAATCGAACAGCCACTCTTTATCACCCTCAGGCAAATTTATCTGAACTTGTCAGTCGGATACTTAAGATTATGTTAGCTATTTTGCTGAAAATGACAAAAAATCGAGGGATATAAGGTTGCCGAAGCTAGCGTTGGCTATAAGAGCAGCCGTAAATGAGTCGACAGGTCAAACATCAGTATTTTTGATGTATGGCCCAGAACAGGAACTACCATTGATTTCATGTATGGCCCTGAAACTGATGTCCCTGATGAGTTAAAATCATGCGAGAAAGTTCGGATTTACACTGAACGACTGAAAGAATTTACACTAAAACGACTTTCGTTCTAAGTCAGTTTATTGCAGTGTGCGTGATGTGTTTCTTTTAGTATCCCTTGTACTGTGTGAAATCATTTCAACCTTTCATATTTCAATGCACTTTGCGTGGTTTATTTAATCAAATTAAAGGAAGAAAAAGAAAAATACTTGATCGACAAGACCTAAAGATGAAATTCAACTGTTTCTTTTTTCTGAAAATTTCCAGTCAAATGATTGAACTCCTCCAACTATGTGTAGAGACAAGACAACCCTAAAAGCACACCAGATTTGAAGTACAAGAGGGATGATCAGAAAAGAGGAAGTATAACGAAGTTTTTCCATATTGACTGAAGAAAATTTGTTGGCATCATTATTTACTTAACATGTTGTTGTATTCGAAAAGGAAGAGAGAGGTAATATTTCTTATCTAGTCTGGTACTGATGCGACGGGCAATAATAAATGAAAACAGTGATCAATAGATATGAATTTCGTGCAAAAATGACATAAACGTGTTAATACCAAATGTGATTATAAATTATCATATTGAATTATTAGGCGTTTCAAATCAATACTATAGTCAATGTTTATGTGCTGATTTATTATATCAAGAAAAATACCTCAAGATAGTCAACAATTGCAAGCAGATAAAGAACAAAAAGGGCTTAAACGTACATTATTACGTTTTGCTATAGAACAAATTTTGAAAGAAACTGGTTTGATAAAGGTATTCGAAAAGAATTTAAGACTTTTAACCAATACAATCAATGGAAACTAGATGAAACAGATTTTTATGATATTATTAATCAGCTATACACAATACAAACTCAGATTATACAATTATTCAATAGAATAAAAACGATGAATGATAAAATTATAGAACAATTAAAACTTGATCAAGAATCAGATCAAAAACAAAATGAATTAACTGTATGGTATGAACAAGTAAAACAACAACAACAGTTACTACAAACGGTATCATCTCAAGCAAGTTAACACTAGTTTATTTTCCATCTTCAAAACCAGTCTAAATTTTCTTAATCTAGAAAAAAAGAAGTGTTTTGAATTCATTCATTTCACTATGTATTTTAGCCTAAATAAAAATATTTTCATTACTATTGTGCATTAAAATAAAGATATTTTTAAACTACGTCTTACTTCAACACAAAAAATGGAAGAAGCATTGAAAAAGATTTTTTTCTCATGAATCTATCAGCTTTATGGCCTGTTGATTTTATAACATAAATCGACCATACAAATTCATTTATATTGCGCGTTGATTTGAAAGGTTTAAAATACATTCGTACTGAAATTTTTAATTTGGAGCAACTCTAAACTTCCAAAGCTACAAAAATCGAGTTTACTGGCTCAAATACAAATTAATAAGTGAATATAAAATATAGTGCTAAAAGTATGTGGTAGTGAACCTTGGTCCGCTCGTCCTTAACATTGCTTCTAATCAAATCTTTCTTTTGTGGAAATCTATGATCGGCACCCAGTGAGTATCGAGACAATAGACGACAAGAATAAAATTGTATCTTCCTTGTTTGATCGGCTATAGAGATTCTTACGTGATTGTTCAAGGGGCCGGCTTAATAGAAAAGCTTTAACTGAATTTCACAAAGAATTTTATCCTGGCCACGTTAAGGCAGATGATACCTATCTGTATCTTGCAAATTTAATGTGTTTGTTCAAGAAAACAATGATACTATTGATTTCAACGAATTTCTGCTGGTAAGTTTTTGATTGTTTTCGTAATTATATTTTTAGACTAAAGTACTGCAGCAAATGGTCAAAGTAAAGTTATGTATTTGTTGTATTTCATTATTGTTTCTGATTGTTAAGACTAAAAAGCTCGAAAAATACAAAATAAGACCAGGCAAAGTCACAATAAGTTCAGTTTGTTATATGATTATTTTCTCCTGTTGTAAGGTGCACACAATGCAAAATTCGAGCAGTTTTTGTTTTTCAATAGAAGGTACATATTCTGATGCAGAATATGACCTTAAAAGTTCAAAACAACCTTTTCTTTGGGGAGAAAATTGCAAAATACTGTGAGCCACAAAAACTTTCAAAATCTTTGACCTTCCGAAAACCCCTCATTACTTTGTTTTGGAAGCTCCTATCGACTCAAACTTTGTTTTTGTTGGATTCCTCGTAT